ATCGGATCGCAAACAACTGTAGCGTGCCTGCCCCTGCATTCTGAGCAGCGTACGTTTCGGCGGCAGTCTCTCGCCCGATGTCCAATAGCAGTACACTTAAAGCATCTACTTGCCTTTGCTAGCCGACTTTTCTTCTCCTGCAGATTGATTTCAGAAGAACAGTTCTCGGTGTTGTGCGTTGGCGAAAGGCAAAAAAAAAAAAAACCAGTCACTTTGCTGTTTAGCCGCGTCACTATGAACTACCGCCACTGAAGGTAGATGGCTGCTGTATGAGCTTCGTGTGTCGTCAGGTAGCCTTCGTTTTGTAAGTGCGACGAGCCCAGTTTTCTCGCGGGCTTCCACTTCTATACGCAGATAGTATAAGAGTTGTTCAAGCTCTGCTTCTGACGACTGATTTTCTCTTGTGTTCTCTTGGAAACTCTGTCGTTTATAATAGTCAACAACGATGTCACTTGGGATTGCTTTGGTGAGAACCTCTAATAACATTGCTGCGTACGACAGCTCCGGCAGACCCAGCGCTTTTAGGCCTCGCACGTTAATCTGTACGCTGTCCAGGAGTTCCCTTAGTTCAGTCACGTCACCAAATGACTTGACTGGCTTCAGCGTTCTTAGGTTGGCAAGGTACGTTTGCTGGATAATATTTACGCTTCCAAATCGGTTTTTCAATATTTCGATTGCGACGCAGTAGGATGCCTCGCTCTCCTGGATTCCTGCAATGGCTTTCGCTGCGGGCCCACTCAGCAGAGTCTTCAGGTAGTGGTACCGATGAATGTTGGTCAAATGGTTGTTTTCGTGAACAGTATGGCAAAACATTTCCCAAAAGGGCTGCCATTGGGATACGGTTCCGTCAAAACGAGGAAGCTCTAGTTTGGGAAGTCTTGCACCTACCCGCCCTGGACCTCCGTGATCGCCGTGATCATTCTGTTGTGCGCTCGGAGCAAGTGGTAAGTCTTCGTTTTGTTGATCGATTCCTCGAGCCGGTGGGCCTGGAGCTTGGAGCGATTCAATGTGATGGCGGAGCAGCGCCAAGCTTGCAGCTGCGTTGTTCTCGTATTCGCTTACCGAAGCGAAATCCTCTGCAGTCTGTTCGTCCGTGAGGAAGGCCTCTAGTTGCTCGTTGAGCTTCTGCAGGCCGTCATTGCAAGTCTTCAGTCTATCGTGCAAAACCCGTAGAGCAGAAAGGCTGAGCTGGTTGGAGTCGATGAGTTGTCTTGCTTCGGTTCGTAGACGTGTATGCAGAGCCCGCTGGGTGGTTCGTTTGCTTTTCACGCGTTCCTTGTCGTTAATATTGACGATCTTTCCTCTCGGTTGGGTCAGTAAGGTAGCAGAGTCCCGGGTTTCGGCACCAATATTTCATGAAGTTAGAGGAACGACGTCCACGGTGTAAATTTGAATAACGCGTTTACTTAGCAGGATATGTAAAACGCTCACCGCTGCCTCGATCGTCTCGATGTTCTTTCTCCTCGCGCTTCTTTTCTGCACTTTTTCGTCTTCGGTCCTTTGTCGCGCGCACATTCCTCCTCCTCGTTTTCAATATTTAACAAGAACGAGCCGACGTTAAGTATTAAGCAATTTTTCCATCAACCTCAGGCACAGATCAGAAAACGTTTACTGCGTTTGCATCCCACCAGAATCATTTCAAAAACAGAAGCACGCGTCAGTTGGTTTAACTCACACATACACAAAAATATACACAAACACAAAAAGGAGTAAGCGAGCTTCTACATGCTGTCAACGCTTTTCTCTCTTTTTGCCGTCGTTTACACCGGCCTTCCCGGGCACCCCGTTAGGAAGGAAATTTAATTTTGCGACTCTGTTGCGATAAGAAAAAAAAAAAGAAGGATGAAGCTGAGGTTCATTTCCCTCGCTCTCTATTTCCAGACTGCGTTTTGCGGTGTCCGTTTCTTATTTTCAATTTTTTTCGCACCCCCGGGATGCACTTGCTGCCATTTCAATCATCCCGAACTTAAAAAGATACCTCCAGAGCGTACAGGGAAGCGGTTAGCAGCCCCTCCAATCGGGCGTCATGAACGAGCCGCGTCGAGGTTTTTCCTCGACCCGGACAACCACTCAGACGCCGTCACTCTGAAGTCAGAACGCAGCCCACGCTACACGATTCTATGCAGCCACTCCAAGGGCGACAAGGGCGTCTCTCCACGCCCAGCTCTTCGTACCTTTCTGTGTTAGCCATCACCCCGGTTAACCCAATCACGCAGAGGAAACAAAAATTCGTTAAAGACACTTAAGGCCACGGTCCCACTGAATGTGGCAGTTTAGGTACTTTTTGGCAGGTCATTACTCATCTCCTTTAAAACACTGTTTTGTGGGATTGATGTCATTCGAAAGGCAATGCAATCCTCTTTCATTTGATATTATGTATGTGTTGGTTTTTACTGCTCATGCGCGTTTGTAGCGTTGCGAATATGATGGCGCGGACCCTCACTTGCTCCTCTAGTTCATGTTTTATGAACGATCCATTAAAGATAGCACGGTTCCAATATAGCAGTTTTGTTAAGATGATGTCGGAGCAGAATGTAACGATGCACTTTTTTGGTATTTGCACTACTTTGTTTTTTTCATCCCTCCAAATATTGCCCTAAAATCGACATTTTTCAGCACAAATATGTTTTTAACGACAAGCGCCAGGGCAATGAAATTAGCTACAGATGTAGTGCTTATAATTGGTAATATGCAAAAAAAAATTTAATGTTGTGTAAAATTTTTTTGTTTAGATATTTTATATCAAACGTAGCACTTTTTTCTGCTTCGAGTCATGGTACTTCAAATGCCGCTGAGGAAATACTTAAACTATCATAAAATCTTTTATAACATTTAGAGCTACAATGGTTGCCCAAGAGGTGGACGATGGCTTTTTTTTCATTTTCAAAGCCATAACGCTCCAGGAGCCCTTCAAACTTACCTGTTTTTGAGGCATATATTCTTTGGACATCGAACAGATTTATTGGCATCTAATAACATTTATTGTTTGGAATAGATATACATTGCGATGTATTAAATTTCCACAATGATCTTGCTTTGGTTTTTTAATAGGTGTAGAGCTCAGCTAATTTTAAAAACAATTAAAAACTGTTTGGGTGTTTTGTTGCGCTACCTGGCGGATGGCAGACAAACTGCTGATTTCTAGTGTTCGAAAAAATTCCGAAGGCGGCGTTGGCGTCTGTATCATCATCAATCTCCGTGTCTTTTTACCTTCACATTTAAAAAATATATTGGAAGATTTACTATCGATAAATGAATGGTTTAAGTACTGGGCCAGGTTAATAAATCTAAGACAAATAATTACACACGCGTAGCGTGATATAATGAGTTCATTTTATTTCATTTCATTTCATTTATTTGGCTCAGGAGAGTCGGGAGTACAGCAGAAAGGCCGAAGGCCCATACCAGTTGGTCTGCAAACACCCAAACTAAAGGAGGGGGGGGGGAGGGGGGGGGGGGAAGAAAGCAAAAGCAACAAAATACTTTTGACAAATACAAGTTAAAAAAAAAACCAAGACAACAACAATTAGATACTTGCACAAAGGCTATGTGAGCGAATGACGGAGATGGCTAGTTACTCTATGGCAGAAGTCCTTCACTTCGTCTCGTGCCGTGGGTGGGCACAAGGTGAAGCTAGGTGGCAATGATCGCCAGTGCGTCACAGTCCTCACAACAAAAGACTGGCGATGCCTCTCAGTTCTGGCTAAGATAGGCTGCAATGAACCGGTCCGATTTTTCCTTAAAGGGAGCACAACGCCAGACTGGCTTGAGTTCAGAATCAAAAGGTTGGTCAGCAGTCGTAGGGAGGCCACCTCTCGCCGTAAGGCAAGTGGGTTCCACCCAACAGCTTGCAGTAAATCGGCCGTTCGCATTTCCCGGTAACGTGCTAAGCGTGTGTCGCGCCGCCTAACCAAGGTGGCGTAGGCGGCCCGACGCTGGACGCTCTCCAGTGCCGCTACAAGGTGTTCCTGGTGGGGGCTCCATATGGGGCAGCAATACTCAAGTTGAGGAAGCACAAGTGCAGTGAAGAGATATCTTAAGGTCTCGGGTCCAGCCCCCTTGGTTACACGGAGACAAAATCCGAGCTGCCGACGCGCCCTCGAAAGTACCTCTCCAACGTGAGCGGAGAAACGTAGCTGGGCGTCCAGGGTGACACCCAACAGCTTTGCGCTTGATGTCCACCTCAGGGCAACACCATCAAGGCAAAGACTAGGAGGGGCCAGGGGTTGCCGGGCGCAGGATATCACCATAGCCGAGCACTTGGCAACATTTAGAGGGAGCCTTTTCTCAGAGGACCAAGCAGACACTGCATCAAGGTCATGTTGGAGCCGCTGTTGGTGAGCAAGGCTGGAGATTGGGTGCAGAAGAGTGACATCATCTGCATAAAGCAGGGGCTTGCAGTACAGGGATGTAACAATGTCATTGATGTAGACGTTGAAAAGTGTGGGTCCAAGCACACTGCCCTGAGGAACACCGGACAAGACCCCAACTGTATCAGACACTGAACCACGGAACACAACTCGCTGAGTTCGCTCACATAGAAAGTCTGTCAACCAGTTGAGGAGTTCGCCACATACGCCAAAAGCACGGAGCTTGCATATGAGGATCTTATGGTCTACTCTGTCGAATGCCTGCCGGAAGTCCAACTAAACAAGCGCAGAGGGGGTACGGCCATCCAGGTACTCACTGGCAGTGTTGACGAGAACAGCCAGGGCCGACTCGCAGCTCCGACCGGGCCGAAAACCATGTTGATACACAGTGAGTAGATTATGCTGTTCGAAGTGAGCAAGCAGTTTTCTGTTTATTACACGCTCCATGGTCCTGCAAACTACGGAAGTCGTGGAGATGGGGCGGTATGATGAGGCCGTGTCAGTCGGCGCCTTGCCACCTTTGTGTACAGGCGTTACCACGGCATGTTTCCACTGCTGTGGCACCTTTCCCGCCGAGAGGAAGTTGCCAAAAAGCCGAGTAAGGACTGGGCATAATCTGGTGGAGCAGGCTCATAGGAATGCAGGGTGAACGCCATCAGGTCCTGCACTTTGGGAAGCGTTGAGGCAGCGCAGCGCTTCTTTAGTGTCGTCCTCTGTGATCACTTGCCTGGTAGGTACATTACAGTCAGATGTTTGGGCACTGGGAGTGCCGAGAGCTAGAGGCACATCTAGGAGAGCGTCGGAAGCCCATACAGAGGAAAAATGGTCACTGAACAGCTCAGCAATAGTTTTAGGGTCACTGAGAACCGAGCCGTCCCTTTCGAACTCTGGGACAAAGGAGGACCTGCGCTGGCTCTTGATGTATGCCCAGAAAAGCTTGGGAGAGCGCGCAGCTTTCTCGGCGACCACGCACAGGTACTCCTTGTGGGCCGTATACACCAACTTTTTCAGGTCTCGTTGTGCTCTTCGTGCTGCAGCAAGGACGTCTGGACGATTTGTCTTCTTGGCTTTTCTGAAGAGTTTCCTCTTTTTGTGGGAGAGGCGTATAATATCATTGGAGATCCAGGGGGTCCTCCGACGGCCGGACAGATGCTTGGAAGGCACACAATCTGCCTCAATGGCGCTCATGATGTCCAGCCACATGTCGTAAGCTTCATCTACAGATGGAGTGTCGAGGACCAGACTCCAGGGTGCGAGATGTAGGAGGCTGTTCAGGTGCGGCAGGTCCATCCTGGAGAAGTTCCGTACCATTTTAGAATAATGGCCAGACTTCGGCAGCGTCAAGAGGCTCGAAAAGCGGATTGCGTTATGGTCGGACCCAGTCAGGCTCGGTTGGATGGAACAGTCAGTTATGAGGGGAAGGTTGCTCACAAACACGAGATCTAAGAAGGACGCTTTGCCTGTGATCGACCTGTATGAGGGTTCACCGCACACCTGAACAAAACCAGACGTTTCCATAACATCAAGGAGAGCATCGTCGTGCGGGCTCAGCGGGACAGGTGCAGAGAGGTCAGACCAGTCTATGTGAGCGTTAAAATCTCCAAAGACGCAGACACAGGAGTAGGCCGAAACGTCAACATGTGCCAGAGATTGCCCCAAGAGATCGTAGGAGGCAGCTCGCGTGCTAGGTGGACAGTACACGCAGCACAGCAACATCTTGCCCTTCCGATGTGTAACTTCGACAAAGACTGCCTCAAGGTCCTCTGACTCCAGGTCGCGCCTCCGACGGCAGGGCAGTCGATGGGGCACCATGATCAATACACCACCCCCATAAGACGCACGGTCCCTCCTATAGACGACGTGCCTGGCGGTATCGATGAGCTGACCGTCGTGGACAGACGGGTCGAGCCACGTTTCGCAAAGACCAAAGACTGTGTCTGGATCCGCCTCGACCAACGCTTGGAAATCAAGTGTTTTGTTTTTCACTGAACGGACGTTTGAAAACCACACTGCGATGCGGGAGCTCCCAGGTGAAGGGCCGACCGGAGCCGGCGACAAGGCGGGCTGCTGGGGAGCGGTGTCCGCGGGCTGGCTGCTCGGAGCCGGAGCGAAAAGATCGTCATCCAGGGGTGGGAGTGCACAGACTCCGCAGTACCACTCGGTGGATGAAGAGGAGAGTCTCCTGTAGGCTTTAATTGACAGCAGCTCACACTTGCGATGGTGCCAGGAGTCGCATCCGTCGCACTGCAGCGCAGCCACATTCTCGAGGACCGGCCGGTCACAGCGGGGGCAAGTGGGCCGCGGCCCAGGATTGGGAGGAACGTCTCCGGCGAGGAGGAGGAGCAAGGTGACGGGCGCTTGCTGGAGCGAGCGGGCCGAACGGGCTCTGAGGGCAGTCGTTTTTCCAATCCCAGTAGGCTTAGCCCATCCCACGGCAAAACCGGCATCACGGGGGGAGGCGACCGCGATGTGCAGCCCAAGTGGTACAGGCAGGCGGGCGAGACGTTCATCGATACTCGAGATAGCAGGGCATTGCCGGCGAAGGCTTGCGAGTACGAAAAGATAAAACAAAGTACGGAGACACGCAATCTCGGACGCCATGTTTGAGGTATCTTCTTCTTTTTCTTCTCATTATTCGATATGATTGAAATCAATAAACAATAAAGACGAAGAGGAAAATAATACACCCGAGTTCACTTCATGCCTAGAGTCACTATATGAGCTATAAAGTATCAGCACTCCGTTCCCCAAAATTGTTTTGGGCGCCGCCATTTTGGGCCTTTTTCAGAGCAAACGCAACTGCCGATCATCATGATCCAAAAGTACGACCTCCTCAGTATTAGATGCGGTGCTAGGAAGCTGATGCAATATGGCAATGCTCTGTCGCGGGTTGTTTAAACATTTGTGGGGGACGGAAAATCGTTTCCTGTGATTTTAGATAAAGCTTCAGGTAACTGGCAACCATGATTTTAAGCCACAATATGGCCAAGTGTCGTTACTCTGAACCGTAACTAATTTACGGGTACATGCGGGAACAACGATGAAGAGGCAGGTGTAAAAAGGTAGTGGCTTGTGGAATCCACGGGACTTACGTCATGGCCCCTCCAGGTATTACAAGTTTCTTGAACAAGAGCATGAATAGTGTCATTAAATAAGCTACGCGTCAGAGTAGCGACACTTGGCCATACTGTGTCTTAAAATCATGGTTGCCAGTTATTTGAAGCTTTATCTGAAATCACAAGAAACGCTTTTCCGTCCTCCACTTTAAACAGTGTGCGACAAAGCAAAGCAACATTACATGAGCTTCCTAACACCGAATCTAATGCTGAGGATGTCGCACTTTTGAGTCATGACGATCGGCAGTTGCGCCTGCTCTGCGCAAGCACCAAAATGGCGGCGTTCACAACACTGTCGGGGAAGAGAGTGCCGATACTCTAAGCGCAGCTAATTTATTTGCTCTAGTTCCCGGGAAACTCCTTTTCCCTGACTGAAACTGAAAGTAATTATGAATATTACACCATTATTATAGCGTATTTAGTTATAACCAACTACACATAAGGAGAGGAGGAAGCGACCGGGTAGGAGAAACGCGGGTTTTATGTGCGACCGTTCTAACCGTCTCAAAAGAGAGAACGCGCGAGCTTGCGCTGGTTTAAAAGAAGGCATCCAAAGAAAAGAGGCGGCACGCTGTGTTCTTTGTTAGTATGCGTCTAATTGCAAATTGTTGTGTGTATGTTTATACAGCCGGAAGTTAGCCTGCCTTAGTGGGCGTCTGGTGTCTCAGCTGTAGATGAGCAATTTAGCCAGTGCTGTACAACCCCAAACCTGGGGTCTTTAACGTCCACCACGCAGTAGTGATACACAACCGCACGCCGGTACGATGCTCTTCCAGATCGAAATGGGCAGGGGCGGGGTGGGTTCTGCAGCGCGAGTTTTCGCTCCACGTGCTCCAAGCTGGTGTGCGCTAGACCATGCACTCGGCCACCGACCCCCCCCCCCCCCCCCTTTCTTGTGCGTCTAATTTATATACAGGTATAAGTATTTGAAGATCGACGATGGACGTCGATCGTCTCGAGGTAATGTAACGTAATAACATTATATAAATAATAAACTTGTTAAAGGACTGAACGACTCAATTTTTCAATTCTTGGATTGTAATATGGCGGTAGCTTATTGTACTTACAATTGATGAAGAGCAATATGAGGTGACGAGGTAATGGTTAAATGATGAGGCTCTATAAGGATGACGACATAGTGGGTGTCGAACCGCAACGTACAATGTCAGACTTGTTTCAAGCATCGTGTACCCAAAGACTTTCCTCACTCGCAACAGAATACGGTAGAATCAATGAGGATGCTGCTTTACAACTGTACGTGGAACAGGAAAACTGCACTGTGCAGAAGTACAGCTTATTCGCTAATATGAGGGACGGATTTCCAGCAGCATTCCCTGATTGACTACTTGGAACAAATGGCCTCGTTGACGTAAAGTGTCCCCGTTCGAAAAGATTCTTGAAGCATACTTAAACCGCAAAGGAGTATGAGGCGAAAAATAAGAAAAAAAGAGCCTGGTGTGGAAGGTCCAAATCATCACCATAGCTTCTACTATCAAATACAAGGGCAATTACACAATACACAAAGAGAGTTTTGTGATTTAGTTATATTTACACTCAAAGGCATTGACATCCAACGTATTCAGAGAGGTGACACCTTCTGGTCAACCTAAATAGAGCTTTTTCTACTCAAGTTTTACATGGAAGGCCCGACTTCCGCTGAAATTCCTTACGTAGACGAGTTGCTCGACCGAATGAACTGAAATTACTCCCGATCTGGGAATCTCTTGATCTTCGTTTGTAAGCCATAGTATCATGAGATCGAGGGGTGTGGCTCTTCGTCCGCCGGATATTGCTGCGGCGGGTGTTTTTCCCGTGTAAGATGAGACCGTCGCGTGCTGCTGGAACAACCTGGCGATTCTTCATTGAACTGCTTCTTCCGTAAGCTTCAAAAGGGCTTTTTTTTTCGCACACCATCTGTTCTGCATGCCCATTAGTTGCAGGATGGTTTGGTGCACTAATGTGATGCCTGATGCCAGTTTTTTTTCTTCACAAACTTGTTTATTTTGTTTGAAGCAAGATTTGACGCGTTATCAGAGAAAAGTATTTTGGTAGGGCTAAAGTAGGTAAAAGAGACCGTAGAACGTCAATGACGTGTTTGGACGTTGTGGCAGGCATCGTGTAAGCTTCCAGCCACTTAAAGTACACACTAAACATTATAACACCCATAATCGTGTAAAAAGGGTGTAAGTTAGGAAAAACACCCTTCTTACACTTCATTTACACGATATTTGAATATCGGTGGGTGTAAAAAGGGTGTGCTGATGTTTTTCATCCCTTCCACACCCTTTTTACGACCTCGCTTATTGCGATGGCGTCTGAAATCGTGTAAAAAGGGTGTATGGGCGAATTATACGCCCTGTATTAACACGGTGTGAAAGGGGCGTTATGGTGATGCCAGTCTAATACACCCATGATTTCATATCCGTTAATGCTTATTGCTTTGCTGAAACTGTTGCTGATGTACGGCGGTATAAACATCCAGTATAATTAATCGCTACACGAAGTCGCGTATGGTTAGGAAGTGATGGAGTATAGTTTTTGCAACTCCGATCGAACTCTTCGTCCGAGAGGAGCCGAAAATTAGGTGTCGCGTGTGCGTCAGTTTCATCAGTTCAACTTCGACTTAAAAACAAAACATCTCCACTCGCAAAAGATGAACGAAGACGTGTCAATATACAACCCAAACAGCACACAGCATTGCGCCGATATAGGATCAAATATGAAAAATTGCGCCGTTACCATTTTGGTCCAGCCAATATCTGTGAAAAAAAGGATGGGTCGCGGCGACGCCATTCTGACATACCGTAGGCGATGCCGTTTTTGGTTGAGCGTCAAGATTCCCGGATGAATGGCCTATGCCGGCGAGGTATGTCTATTTCTTAACCGCCTAAAATCCGACGTTAAAAAAGAAAAGAAAAACAAGATGAAGCAAAACGGAATCTGCTTACTTTTAACCAGAGAAAGACCTCCTGCGCTGAACCACTGAACAATTTATGGGCCGTGGCGCCCTCATTTCGTGTATTACAAACTCACCTCACTGGCCCTCGCACTACTTATAGCACCTTCACTGAGATTTTATTTTTGTGTGTAGTTCTAACGAAACAATTCCGCAAGACAATCGAAAGTGCCGAATTTATGACACCCCGGCTATAGTACGCGATCCTTAGTTGACACCAAAATATCTATAGTCGGTTACAAGTCAAGAAGGTAGGAGAAGCTCCTCCCACAAGTGTGATCCGCCCGTTTCAAATCTCTCCGCAGTCGAAAGAAGAGTTCACTGGAAGCGCTCCTTGTTCCGCTTCAATGGATTCCCACTTGTCTCCGATCCCACTTTTTAAGAAAGAGACCTTTGTATTCATCGGAGACGAAACCGAGCCCCTGAAAGCAGCCTTTGTATCCTTCGGGGGGAAGCTAATCCCCGAAAGTCGTATTTGTTTCCGTCCGTGGGGGGAACTCTAATCTCCCTCTCGTGACTTCCACAATGCTAAGTCAAAGTCGAAAGATAAAGCAAATATGCACAGAAAGGCAAGACCCTCCTCGCGCGTTGTCCGCGACGTCACGGAAACGGTGGGACGCTATTGGATGCAAAGGTGGCGGAGGGATATCTGATTCCCTTTGAGGGGCATTTGCCGCTACCTTCTTAACCTGTAACTGACTATAGCCTCCCGACGCTTTTTTTCCTTTTTTTTTCTTTTTTCGTACGGGTGAAATTGCATCTCTTGTTTCATGCGTTCGAATTTGTTTTGTGTTATTTATTTCGTGATTTCGCAGTCGGCATCAGAGCACGCACGCCACTGCGTGAAGCAAGTCCTGACGTGTCCCATTTTGCGACCCTCCTTGGGCAGCCCAGGTGGCTTATACAAAGCCGCAGAGGGAGATTAGCTGCTTTGTCCACCCCTCTTTGACCTCGTCTTCTGATAAGCCTCCACACCTTCTTTTGTGTCTTCGTGTGGCTGTGAGCGAGTGCGAAGGCCGCTTCTAGCAAATCAGAGGGGTGGTGTGTAACACGTGACCCTTCTCCGTGGGACAGGGACGCTTGGACTATAATATGTCACGTGACTCGCTCCGACGCGCTGATGGGCTCACTGGGGCCGAAGTCTTTGCCGTATTCCAAATTACGGTGAGTGTAGAGGAAACGTAGGTCCGGTTTCTAAAAAGCTTCCGTCAGGCGTCAGTGTTCTTCTGTTTTTCGTGCGTTGCAGTCGCAGCCGTGGTTTTTCGTCTTGAACGGCCGGAATACGTTCATACTAATTTTTTGGTAATATTTGTGAATTTCGTCGGAGTCCATAGAATTATTGTGCTGTGTTTGTTGGACGCGTTTCGACAAAGAACTAACTGCTCGTCGGCGCTCGGGAGACTTCCGCTGATTGTGATCAACCGCCTTCATCCTCGACATTGTGTTTGCGTAGTTTTGTGCTGCCCTAGTCGGATTGTGCATCTATCACGACAGAGAGCTGCTCATCGGCGACGGCGAGAGTTCCGTTG